AAGTATACTGAGTAATATTCCGTGTTTTAGATATATTATGTGGTTGTTACTTCTGATATCACTATTCTAAAAATATTTATATTTTATTTTATTATCCCCTAATGATGATACTTATTACTGAAGGGGTTTGATTTATCTATTTTTTATATAAGTCAATAGGAAAAAAGGTCGCAAATCTTTAACCAATACTTCTAACTTATAAGAAGAGATGATAAAGAAGCCAGTCTCTCCAAAATCAGATTCGTTAGTCTCTTTCACTCCAGTTGCTAAAAAATGAAGTATTAGCAAAGTTTTAGATGTTTCTGCAGATATTCCATTACAGAATGATGGATCTATAGATATTTTAGAAATTTTAAAGACTGCAGTACGTGACTTTGACCAAGGTATAATATTACTAGGTTCCTCCCGCTCATATAAAAGTTCCAATCATTTGTATGTGAATTCTGAGTATTATATCAAAGTTTCAAGAAAAAGTACATATGATGCTGAAATGTACTGGGTTCTAGTGAATTGGTTAAGAAAAATCCATGGATATGAGATCACTGGCCAGTGGCATCTCGAACAAGTTTATGATGACAGAGATTAACATCATCTTTATTGTGACCTAACTATAAAAAATTCTGATAGTTCTTTTCTGAAATAGGGCTCTTAATCGAATTGAGTAGGATTGATGATTGATTGAGTCAATCAATTTTTTGATCACAGATTATTAGATTCGATCAAAAAAATTGGACTAACTTTAATTGATTATAATCAATTAAATTTCCAATGGTTAATTGATCAACAATTACTACGTTTGATCGATTATAAATAGTATCGTTATATTTTGTATAAAAAAAATTCTTGATATTTTACATAAACAGCAAGATGAACTTCAGTGCTATTTGGATAAACTTAAAAACTCTCAAGCTTTACCTACGATAGATCCATTCCAACGGTGGAATGATAATAAACAGAAGTTTCCAACTTATTTAAAAATACTAGAAAATATTTGGTATTCTAGTAATGTTTCGGATAGTTCAGATCATAGAAAAATTCTTTAGGCGAAACATTTTAGATGTTAAAAAATAGTTTCGCCTGAAACATTATATTCTAGCTACGTCTGAACGGTTTTTTAATGATGATATGAATCAAAATCGAACAGTTTAAAGCTAAAGACAGTTGATCAA